GCAGAGCGGTTTGACAGTGTTGTGGTATGCTGGCAGAAGTTCGAAACAGCAACGTCTGCTGGTGTTGCTTTTTTGTCATCCTAAACCTGAAGGAACAGAGCCCTCGAGATCAAAAAGCACGTGTTGTATCAACTCTTGCAGTTGGGGCAGAGCGTTTTTGACAGTTTTGTGGTATGCTCGCTGAGTTTTGAAGAATAGTAAAGGGGTCGGGCTGGCCTGTACCTGAACCACCCCCAACCCCTAACCTTAAGGCTCCAAGCCGGGCAGTTTCTGGCTTAAGGCTGCAGGCAGAGCTGGGCAGTCTTGGGCTTAGGGCTCCAAGCTGGGCAGTCTCTGGCTTAAGACTTTGGCTTAAGGGCAGTCTTTGGTTTGAGGCTCCAGGCCGCGCAGTTTTTGGCCTAGGGCTCTAGGCCAGGCAGTCTTTGACTTAAGGTTCCAGGCCCGGGCAGTCTCTGGCGGTAAGGCTTCAGGCTTTGGCCTGTTGGTGTTGCTTCTTTTCATCCTCAACCTGAAAGGGCAGAGGGGTATTGAGAGTATTGTGGTATGCTGGCTGAATTTTGAAAGAGCAGTGTTTGCTGGTGTTGCTTTTTGTCATCCTCAACCTGAAAGAGCGAAGCCCTCGAGATCAACAAAACGTGCTGTATCAACTCTTGCAGTTGGGGTAGAGCAGTTTTGACAGTATTGTGGTAAGCTGGCTTTGAAAGTGTTGCTTTTTGTCATCCAAAACTTGAAAGAACAGAGATTGTGGCTTTTGCATGGTTTCGCAAGACAGAAGGCTTTGTTCCAGCCGAGGGCTTGTTCCAGCCAGGGCGTTTTCCAGCCCCTGGCTGGTTCCAGCCCAGGGCGTTTTCTAGCCTGGGGCTTCTTCCAGCTCGAGGCATTCTCCAGCAAAGGGTGTGTTCCAGGCAGAAGCTTGTGAAAAATATTCTCGGCATGTTCCGGGCCTGGGTATTTTCCAGCAGCAGCCTGGTTCCAGCCCCGGGCTGTTTCCAACGAGGGGTCGTTTCCACCTCTGGGCTCATCACCCGTCGCCTGCAATGAACCGCAAAGCAGTTGGCTCGGCAATGCGCGGAGTTCTAAAGGTTAAAGGTTACCTACTCTGCTTCTGAGAACATGTTGCCTCAGTTCTCATTTGCAGAGATGGAGAAGCCTCAGCACGCAAACACACTTGAACGGTTTAAGTCTTCAATGAAGCTAGCGTGGGCTGCAACAGGTTGACCTTCATCTTTTTGTTGTAAAAGCCATGGGCCATGGGTTCAGGCAAATTGACTAACTTTTCAAAATGAAGTGTTGTAAGACACATTAAAAAACGCAAGTGTATGTGGTCAAATAGAAACTCAGCACTTTGGAAGAAAAAGCAAAGAAACCAGAAGTCACTCTTTTTGCAAAAGCCGTTACTTGCGTTAGAAAGAAACTTTAATTTCCTGCAACGGATTCCATCTTCAGGTAAAAGAGTGGAGGAGCTTGGACGTGGACTGGGCCTAAATATAAAGTGCTGGAGGTAGTACGCAGCGCAACATTGGCAACGCAACAGACACAGCAACATGCTATTTGCGAGGTTTTCGCATGTCCGAAATTCCGCTTCCCTGCTGTTTGCAAGGTTTTCAAGCATGTCCGACGTTTCGCTCCATGCTAATTTGCGAGGTTTTCAAGCATGTCCGGCATTCCGCTTCCATGCGATTTGCAAGGTTTTCAAGCATGTCCGGAATTCTGCTTCCATACTATTTGCGAGGTTTTCGCATCCGGAATTCCGCTTCCATGCTATTTGCGGTGTTTTCAAGGCCCAGTTGTCCGTTTCCATGCTCTTTGCGCTTTCGGCCAAGCGCCACATGTCGGTGACCATGCTCTCGAGCGCCCACATGTCCGTTACCATGCTATTTGCGGTGTTTCTATGCGTCCAGATGTCCGTGACCATTTGCGGTGTTTTCGAGCGCCCAGATGTCCGTTACCATGATTTGCGGTGTTTTCATGCGTCCAGATGTCCGTTACCATGCTTTTGCGCACGCGGCCTTCGTCTGTACTACAAACAGTCGACTTTCCAGCCACAGAAGCTCCGCGTGTCCACGGGTTGTGGATCTTCTTGCTTTCTGAAAGGCGCGCAAGCTGGACTTCAGAGCAACTGCCTTGCCACATCAAGCGTTCTTGTCGAGGAAGAGAATTTGCCAACTTTGTGTTCAGTAAGCCAACCAATCCTGTAAAGAGCCGGCTGCATATGAGTGTGTCCGCCTGGGCACAGAGTGAAGCGCATAGAGTGAAGTGCATAGAGTGAAGTGCATAGAGTGAAGTGCACAGAGTGAAGTGCATAGAGTGAAGTGCATAGAGTGAAGTGCATAGAGTGAAGTGCATAGAGTGAAGTGCATAGAGTGAAGTGCAGAGAGTGAAGTGCATAGAGTGAATTGCATAGAGTGAATTGCATAGAGTTTAGTAATTAGTGAATACAAATTTCTGGATTTACGTTGAATTTACCAGACCTTCGGCGCACTTCACTCTGTGCACTTGCCTCTATGCACTTCACTCTATGCACTTTGCTCCATGCGCTTCACTCTATGCACTTCGCTCTATGCACTTCACTCTATGCACTTCACTCTATGCACTTCACTCTAAGCACTTCACTCTATGCACTTCACTCCATGCACTTCACTCTATGCACTTCACTCTATGCACTTCAGTCTATGTTGTTGTGTCAGGGGGCTCCGCACGGAAGAACCCTTCGCGATGCTTTCGGGAAAAAAAGAATGAGAGTGGAGAACCTGTCTAAATTCCACCCCCTCGTTTCTCGTGTTTTATTTCTTGTCTTCATTGTTCTTGTATTGGAAGAGGTAGTTTTAGAAAAAAAGCAAAGGGACTTGGGACTTAAAGGGCGAAGGGGGGTTGGAGGAGCTTTGAAGAGAAGCTTAAAAGTGGGCGAACGCATGTACAGGAAGTGCGTTTACAAGGAATTTCAGACCCAAAGAACGCTCCAGAATCAAGCTTTCGGGCTCGTTGTTGTGGTGTTGCGACTGCGGTTGCTGTTGTGACTTGTTTGTTGGGAAATGAAGCCAGAGCGATGCATACCCAAGATTCCGGCTGCTGGTGAACAGTGTGTGCTGCTGGGTTATGTTTTAAAGTTAGAGGTTCAGCTTTTCAGTGCACCAGGCGTCCGTTGTGCAGTGTGTGCAAAGTGGCTTCCGGCAAGAAGTGGTCAGGCGTGTTTTCGATAGGAGCGGGCAGAAGTGAGACGGAAGGGAAGAGAGTCCTGCGCTGCTGCCACCAACAGTGGTTTTGGAGCTAACATTGAGTTGCGTTGTGTGCCAGCTGGCCGTGTTGCATCGAAATTTTCAACCCCGCTTGTTGTCATCATCTTCGCTTTGATTATTATCGTTGTTAGTGGTTGTGGTGGTTGTTGTTGGTTGTTGGCTGTTTGTTGCACATTCTGCTTCATGGTCATCATTACAAGTTCCACACAGGATGAGTACGCTCGTTATCACCATTGTCGAAACTCAATTGTGGATAATGCCATTGTCACGACTATGTGGTATTTCTGATGTTCGTAAGGTAGAATAGAATTGTTATATGTTCTTTTTATGATTGCCATTGGTATAGTTAACACGATGTGGGGTTTCCGCTTGTTCTTTGGAGCCAAACATTCCCCGCTCACGTCGGGGTGACTTACAAGGCAGTACAAGGTTCTCGGCATTGGCAGCTTGCGCTCAGAATAGCACATTCCCTGCATCCAAGCATTGGCTCTTGTCAGGGCCGTCATTTGAGGATTGCAAGGCCTGAGTGTAGCCCAAGCTGTACGAAACATATGGGCCGAGGTGTGTGCAGGTACTTGTCATTCAGACGGACAGGATATGGGAGGCTTCATCCGTTGTTTGAGCAGTCGCATCAAACTCCCGCTCGAAGCACTGGTGAAAGGCCGCATGCGTGGTGCTGCCGATGATGTACAGCGTGAAGCCCTTATACGCTGGTGCAATCCTGCGCATGAGGTAGATCAGTGAAAGTTCTTCGCCTAGGCATAGAAAGTGAATGTGAGTGCTGGTGTTTCTTGTTGCCGGACATAGCATCGGCACCTTGGATTCCGTGACGTCCAGCTTTTGCACTGCCCAATTGGGTCACGTTGTCTCAAGCTCAAGACTAGACGACTGCTCGGTCGCACAAAGGAATGATTGAGTGTGACTGTGTGTGGGGGAGAGTGATTGATCTCTAGGTTGCTCCTACTAGGTCAGGATTGTACTCTGATTTTGCAGATACTGTCAAAAAGCCTCCTGAGCCCCAGGTCCTGTCGTCTAGCGCGCAGGATCCGGAGAAACATCGCGAGCAATTGCCAAAGCTCGTCCCTTGGAATCCCCCACTGGCAAGCGCTAACTATTTTCCACTCGAACAAACTTGCATTCCGGCACCTATACTACACTTTGTTGCGATCTACAGCACTAAACCTTTTGTTCCCACTCAATGCCCAGTACCTCAAGATTTGAGTTGCCTGGGTTTCAAGCTGTGGCAAGACGTTTGTCTGGATTTCGGTCCTATCGGGGAGAAGCACAGGCCTTGAGTTCTTCTGGGTTGCCCAGAACTACACATAGCCAAAAGAACTTGCTGGAGTTTCGGGGCAGCGACGCAGAACCAAAAATCTATCATGCCGACAGAGTCCGGACCCAAAAGCTTAAACCAAGTTGTCGCTTTTCTGAGGTGAGATCTGGTCCTCCCCGTGAGGGTTCTGGTGCAACACAAGAAGTCACAGGCCCAGTTGGATCCTGTTGCTTGGGGTTTCTGGTTTTGCAGCTTTGAGAGCATTCAGCCTGGAAGCTAAAGAGGCCTTCGGTTGTTCGGTTCTCCTGACTTCTCCTGCGCTGTGCTGGGTGTTTTGATGTGTTGTGATGCTTCAAGGCTCTAAGGCAGCGTCACTGATATCGCGCCGCAGAAGTTGTTAGCATCGCCCTGCGCCCTAGACATGGCTCAGCCGCGCCGGTGACTCCAACAGCAGCGAGACAGAGGCCTCAACGGCACCCCTTCTCAAAGAGATGGCGGTCGTCAGGTTGGCCCTGTTCTTGCATGCGCTGAGCCTTTCGTTTGTGTATGCCCAAGAGTTCGCCATCGGCGTCTATGCGCCCGTCACGTCAAGGAGCCAATTGTACATGGCCCTCACGGCCATCTTCGACCTGGACCTCCGCAAGAACTTCGAGCCTGCGCTTGTAACTCGCTTTGGACCGCCGATCATCGACATTGCCACCGAGTCCGGGGTACCGTTGCAAAGCGGCCTGCAGAGCATCAGGCCGCGCATCGGCACGAGCAACTCGCAGCCAAACATCGGTCTGAGCACAGCTGTGGACTTCATGCTGGGTTTGGATGGCGAGAGCCCGGTGTCTGCACTGGTGGGAGGCGTCTTCTCTTCCATCGCGATGCCGATTGCCAGCTTCTCTGCCGTGCAGCAAGTCCCGCAAATTGCCTACGGAGCTACCAGCCCCTCGCTGTCGAACAAGGACACGTATCCCTACTTCATGCGCACGGTGCCTCCGGATTCAATCCAGGGGCAGGCATTCTGGAAGTGGATTGTGCAGTTTCAGGTCCCTTTGGCGGTGTGCATCTATGCCGTCGAACCATATGGTCAGGGCCTGTTTCTGGCCATTGAAGAGCAAGCCAAGCTTGCCGGCGAGGCCGAGCGACTTGTTGGTGTCCCTCTCCGATACATGCCCACCAACTTCGTCGTTTCGGAGGCCAAGCAAGCTTTGGATGTCGCGAAAAGCCTTGGAAGTCGTTTCCTCTTCTCGTCGATGAACAGTCAGATGTTCACACTCTTTGGGCCCGTTATGTTCGACGAAGGATTCATGCAACCCGGCTGGCAGATCTTGGGTTCCGAGGCTGCCACGATGTACGGCACGTTGACGGATGCGGATTTTCCGATCGGCTTCCAGCGCTGGAGCCCCGTGAGCCGAGGTGCCAAGTACGCGCTGTTTGAGGACATGTGGAAGCTGATGAATGCCAACGATGTGCTCAGCACCACAGCGAGGGCACGCTATGGTGTTGACAACATGAAGGTGCCAATTGCGTCTGCGACCGTTCCCCCCATTGACGACAGCGACTTCACCGGTATGGTTCTCCCGAAATGGAGCACCTTCTTCTTCGATGCCCTGTACACCTTGACCGTGGCGTGCAACCGGCTCTTGAGCCAGGGAAATGCCATTGCCGATATCAAGGGAGAGCTCCTCCTGACCGAGCTGAGGGCGACCACTTTCACCGGAATCTCAGGCCCTATCGGTTTCAACGAGAACGGTGACCGCCTCGCATTCTACGAACTTCTCGTCAATGAGCCTGTGACGGAGGGCACGGCGAATCCGACAAACTTGGTGGTGGGAGCTGTTTTTGATGCAATCACTGGGGAGCTGACTATTGCCGGCCAAGACCCGTATTGGATGGACGGGCAGAGGGGGGCAATGCCTCCAGCTGAGCTGACCAACTGCGACCCAGGCTTCTACAAGGAGCCGCAGTCCCGGCAGTGCAAGCCCTGCCCTCTTGGCTTCTACTGTTGGGGTGGCACAGAACCGAACCGCCAGTGCGCGCGCGGAGCGTTCGCGAACGAAACTGGCATGGTGAACTGCACACTCTGCCCCTTTGGCAGCTTCGCGGCCGAGGTCGGCTCTTCTTCGTGCAGCGCCTGCTTGTCAGGCTTCTACTCGGACGAGTTGGGGCGGGAGGCTTGCAAGAAATGCCCGAAGGGAACCTACATGGTCAACACCGGCGCCAGCGTGTGCACTCCGTGCGGATTGAGCCAAGAGACAGAGGAGAGCGGTTCCCAGGCCGCAACTGATTGTCGTTGCGCCGAAGGCATGTTTATGTGCAATGAAGTTGGCTGCCAGATGTGCCCAGAAGGCCTCTACTGCGCTGCAGGTCTCGACCCTCCTGTTCAGATGGCGGGCTTCTGGACCGCAGTGACAGGGCCGAACCAGTGCCACTTCAATGTGCTGCGCTGCAGAGACACTCATGAGTGCCCTGAGAATCCTCTCGGTGAGTGCGCCCCGGGTCGCGAAGGATTGGCATGCAACAACTGCCGCGAGGGATATTTTCCGGAGGAAGAGGGAACATGCCTGCCCTGCAGCCCGGGGGATTCACTTCCAGCTGTCTTGAGTGCCATCGCAGCCGTTATTGTCCTCATCGTCTTGCTTTCCTCGGTGAATACGGACCTGAACCAGCAGTCACTAAACCTGCTCACGGTCGCCGCAGTGGGCAGTCAGATGGTCATGGCCATCCAGGCTCTGGGATCCATCCGTCAGCTGGCCATCAGCTGGGTGGATCCCGTGCGCCACATCATTGACATGACCAGGCTGCTCACCTTCGACTTCGACATCATCCGCATCTCTTGTGTCACCGGTCAGGATAGCCCCACGCTCAAGTTCCTTGGGCAGCTCTTGGCGTGCCCTGCCGGCTTCTGCCTGGTCATGGTTGCATGGGCCGTTGCACGAGCTCGTGGCCGCAAGATGTCTCTGGATGCTGTCTTCAACCTCAATGGTACCTTGCTGTTTGCGCTCTTCATCACGCTGACCTTGGCGGTGTTGGGCCCTTTCCAATGCATCAGCAACCCAGATGGGAGCTCGTCGATGGCATCAAACCCAGGCATCATCTGCTACACCTCCTCGGAACATTGGGTTGTGGTTTTTTTGTCCATTGTCGGTATCATTTGCTATCCTGTTACCATCCTCGGCTGGGCGACCTACACAACAGTCATGTACCCCTCTCGCATCACATCCGGTGCTGGCCTCCGGCTTGTGAATCGCTACCGCTTCCTCTTCCAGCGATTCAGGCCTGAGTGCTACTACTACGGCTTGGTCCTTCTGTTCCGCAACGCCTTCGTGGCTCTCTTCCCTGTGGCGTTCGTGTCGATGCCCGAAGTTCAGGTCGTGCTCATGGGCGCTTTGTTCGTCTTCGGTGGATCTCTTCAGGTGAGGAGTTGGCCTTGGCGTTCTCCGATGGCCAACTATGCCGACTTGGTGATGACGGCTTTCCTCCAGGTGGTCTTGCTCGGGGCTGCTCCTCTGCTGGAGGTCGACAAGGAGCAGTCAACGGAGATGCTGGGCTGGCTGCTTCTCGTCGCCGTGCTCTGTCCGCTCCTCGCTGGCCTGGGAGCCGTGGGTTTCGCAATTTTCCGTCACTTTACACCGAAGGCCATGTTCGGCATTTTCCTTTGCCACCACAAAGGAGGCGCTGGCAGTCTTTGTCGCCTCATCAAGCTTCTTGTTGCCAGGCACAGCTCAGCCAACGTTTTTCTGGATTCCGATCAGCTGGAGGACTTGGACCTGATCTTCGACACGATCCGTGCCACGACCAAGAGCGTGGTTACCGTCCAGACGCCAGAGCTGCTGAAGCGCATGTGGTGCGCGGGAGAAATTGTGACTGCCTTCAAGAACAAGGTCACCACCGTCCCCCTCATCTGCGATGGCTTCCTCACGCTAACAAATAAAACTCTCGACATGATCCCAGATTGCTGGACGGCCCAGCAGAAGCAGATCCTCGCTAACTACGGCATCACCATGGAAGATGTGAAGTCGGCTTACGTCTGGCTCCGCGATGAGAAGACCCCGCTCTACCTCAGCCGTTTTGGCTCGGCAGAGAAGCGTGAGGAAGTTGTCATCGAGATGTGCAAGCAGTGCAAGATCTCCATGAAAGTGTTCGCCTCCCACCACACTCAAACGGGCCCTTCAAAGGCAAAACCAAGGATTCTCATCACCGGCTCCATCACAGATGCTGAGGCTCTCGCAACATGCGAAGTCTTCCAGATTATGGTGCAGGAACATTTGCGGACGGAATGTGCCTTAGT